CAAAGAGACTTAAGCAATTCTGCTTTGCTAGAAACATCTTCCTTGTGTCAAGTCAACCTGGTCCTAATTCAGGCACCTGGGGCCACACAGACCCAGCTGTCAGATGTGTGAAGAGAACATTCCTTTGTATTCCTTCTTCAGAAGAAATACCCCTGAATGCTCCACACATGCCTCGTCTCATAGCATGATTTTGGCACCTTTAACAGCTCTTCATTTCCCTTTCAGTCACTCTACCTGCCAGTATTCCCTGTAAAGGGTAGTGCTCAGAATAAATCACAGGACCCATGGTCCATCATGGGCACATCACCTTCACCTACCCCTCGCTCAGTTAACAAGCAAAGGTTGGAGAGACCTCAGAGCGATCTGTTAAAGAGAAAAACGCCAAGAGCTATGGCCACATCATGTCGTTCTCACCTGTCAGAAGCAGTAAACTTCGGATTTCTATGTCTCAAAGCATTCTTCAGCTCTGCAGAGGAATAAACAGGTTTACACACGTTCTCTTTTTAACAGCTTTTGGTACCCCCTGCTGGCGAAATTGTGTGACCCAGTTGTCAAGAATCTCAAAACAACTAGAAAAAAAAATCCCAAATTCAGAAAGTCATAAGTACTTGAGTCTTGAAGGCTCTGAGGAGTCCATGAATTATAAGACCTTCCCAAGAGTCCTGTGGTTATTGTATGAGGGTTTTTTTTTTTAATTCTTCTATAGCTGTGGCTATTCTGTGAGCTTTAGGGAGAAAAAAAAAATCTCTGACTTCTGTGAACATTCCATTAATTCTGCCAACATTCCAAAAAGGAAATGCTAAATTATTAACAAAAATATTTCTAGGTACAAATATTCTAGATCACACATTAATTTCATGCAGGTTTTCCCTTAACTTTCTTTGCACGTATCTACTTTTCAAGTGGTTGTAATTTGTGTTCATCTTTTCTACACTTCAAATCATAGACTTTTAAATATAAATTTGTGCAGCAAATTTATTGAGCACTGTGCTAGATACTCAGCAAGAAATTGGAGTAGGTGCAAAGAGTCAAAAGCTCTTCTCCCAAGAGGTTCTTGTCCTAGTGAGTGAAAGAGTTGAATCCCTGCAATTTGACTAGGCAAGTATTAACTGACATGGCACAGAAACCCTCCCTGATCTCCCGCTAGGGTTCAAACCAGGTATTAACTTTCTCACTGCCCCAGGTATTTCTTCTTGGTCTTCATCATCTTCATGATTTTAGCTTTATTTCTGTATGTATCTGTTTAATGCCCGTTTTGCCATTGGACTCTGTGTTCCATGAGGATCAAGGTCAAAAAGACAAGGTCTGCTTACATCTAGCAGAGACTGATAACATGCACTTGCTCATTAAATAGTTGTTCAACAGATAAGTCAAGCAAGAGGAGAAAAGTATAATTCTGTGTAGAGGAGTAGGGAGAAGCCTCATAGGAATGTGCCATTTAGATGACATTGAGCTTTGAGGGATAAATAGGAGATAGTCAGTAGAGAAGAATGGGGACACATGAAGGAATAGAGGAATATTGAGGAATGGTGTGGAGGAAGGAAGTTGATGTTTCCTAAAAGGAGATGTGTGCAGAAGGCAAGGATGAGTTAAAGCCTGGGCCATAATGTGAGGATCTTGTATGCCTTATTCAGACACTTGGATTTCCCCCTCTCTTGAGGAAGAAAAGAGAGGGGTTTGTAAATTAAACTCTTTGGCTATGGGAATTTTCCTGCGTGCCTGAGGAGTATCTTTAATACTTAAATTTGGAATTCTGAAAGAATAGAGATCAATCCCCAAATTGTGGTTTTGTGTTTTATTTCCTTCTACATACACCCCCTCCATTTCTACCTTGTAGCTGTGTTTTCCCATTGCCAAAACATCTGTCTCTACATTTTAAAATTATTGTATAGCATCATTATCACCATGAACATGTAGTTAAGTATCAGCCATGAGCTCAATACTAAGAATGTCACATATCTGATTTTTTACAACTCAGTTAGCTTTCCAATTTTTAAATGCCTATATGTTTGGAAGAGCCTCCTTTTTTCTTTTTTCATTTTTAAAATATAGGTGTTCAGAGCTACCCAAACATTTTTATAAAATGTCATTTTTTCATAAAAGCAGCAAGGCCTTTTTTATTATTATTATTCCTTTGGAAACCAATGATTTGTGCCTAAGACAACCCTTTACATATTATTTTACCATGAGTGGAATGAGATTGGTTGGGAACTCTGCCCCCAAGGAAATATCAAAACCTGCAATACATACTCATTTATAGTTTTAAAGTTAACTCTCTTATCGGATTTCCTTTAATTTCCTGCTGGGACAGTATGAGCAGAGCTCACATAGAGGCAAAGGAGATGCTATATATCTTTTCAAATTTATGATTAAGAAGGTCACATATACATTTTTAAACACACTCCTTTTTGATAATAAATGAAGACTAAAACTCTGAAATGTCATCATCAGCAGAGTTACTCATTTTTCTTTTGTTGGCATCCCCCTGCCCCTGTTTAATTGCCCGACTGATCCAATGCTTCATTTCGTGTTGTTTTTCTGTCTGCCTGAAATAGTTTCACTAGTATAACAGTATGCCTGTGGCCAAAGCATTATAACCAGAAGATGCATTCCTATTTCTGAGTGCCTTTCTTTCCCCAGGCCAATTAAAAATAGATAAATAAATGAAGAATTCCAGTTCAGGCTGCATGTGTTTTCAAATGATGGCTAAAATCACAGGTGTGAAAGATTTTCTCTTCTTGGCCTGGATTTCTGGATTTGAATTCCCTCTTCACCTTTCTCTACTGTGTTCTCTGCCTCCAGAAAGTGTTCTCTACAGACTCCATCAAAGGGATCCCTAGCCATCTCTGGCTTTTCACTGGATCCAGAAAATGAGAGCCACCATTTGCTGGACCCAGGAGTCAGAGGAAGGGAAGAGGAGGTAGCCAGGGCATTTTTGTCTCTGATCCCTGCCTCATGACATTGTCTAGGACTGGCTGGACCCCCAAGAGAAAACCACTGCTGTGTTTAGCTTGCCTCATCTTCACAACTCTCTCTTTGGGGTTCTGGCTACTGCTCCTTCTGTTTATTCCTCTGGTCCCACAAGTATGAGCAGCTCTCCTGTTGCTATATTATATTGTGGGTCCCCTACACCCATCTCACCTTTATCAGTAGTCCTTTTATAAATAAACATTCCTCAAATTATCCTCATTTGAGTGTGCCATCTGAAAGAAAGAATTGTTCTGTGAAGTCTACACTTAGATTATGAGACCCACGTTTTAAGGAAGATACTATCAAACTGGAATTGGACCTAGATGAGCTCCTTTAAGCCATTTCATCGACAAAAGTACCTGAATAATGAGTATTTGTATACTAACCCTGAATGGTACCCCACATATTTAAAATAAAAGATACTTCTAAGTCTATGTTTATCCTTTCTTTTAATACCTCCTCTGACAGTGAGATCATTGCCTCTTGATATTGCCTATTTTATGTTCAGGTAGGCTCAACTTTGAAAAATTATTCTTTGCAGTGCATTGAATTTGGCCTCTTTAGGTTACTTCTTTCTATGTTGAGATAGGAATGACCAAGACTGAATTTGAAGCCAAGTCCTGTGAAGAATGGTGCAAGAAGAACTGGAGATATTTATCCTCAAGGTGTTTAATGTTTAACCTATAGCCTTTCATGTGATCAGAGCATAGTAACTATATTTAGATGCATATATGTTGGGAAAACTCAGAGAGACCATGTCGGTTTTTTAGAAATAGTTAAATAACTGTTGTGTGTGAGAGGGGTTAGTCATATTTTTATATCTGTAATAATATATCTAAGATCTATGAGTTAAAATTTAAAGGAAGTAGATTTCAAATCCTTAAGAAATGAACTTTTTAAACTTTTAGTTTCCTGGTGAGGTGATAATGTCTTCATTACTTGATGGAATTCAGGGAGAGATGGGATCCCATAGTGGGGCTATTGGAGATGGGATTTAGATATTGGAATATAGTTGGACCACTCAACAATAATATACAAACAGGAATAGTGATGACAATATGTTGCATGCTTACCATGTTCCAGGCACTGTGCTCTGTGTATTTCTTACATTACCTCATTTAATCCTTACAGCCCTATGAGGTTGGTCCTAGTATTTACTATAGTATATAGAAGAAGAGCTCAGGACTTAAAGAGATTATGAAATTTTCCCCAGGTTGTGCAGCTCACTGACAGGCAGCAGAGGTAGGATATGAGCCCAAGTCTGCTGATGCCAAAGCTAATGGTTTTAGCCTCCAAGGGTTGATGTCAGAAACACTTGGGGAACTTGGTGGCCATGCAGAGGTTCAGGCCTTGTCCTACTTTCATGAGTTCAGGCCTCTGTGTGTTTTATCTGCTCTTCAAGCGATTCACTTTGGCACCAAAGTTTGAGATGCACTGCTCTACACTACTATTATTATTATAAATGCCCACTTGGCTCTGAGGGTCTGTTTTTCCTCTGGGGATGACTCAGCATCAAGTTCAGCTTTAATTTTCCTTCTTTTGAGCTGTGAGAATAACCTCCACCAGTCCAAGTCTCTACTTTAATCTACCATTATTTGGTGGATTTTCATGAGCTTGGTTCCCAAGAAAAGCCAGACTTGATTTTTAGTCTAATTCAGAGCCATGGGAACAGAAAGACCAGTCTAGCCACTAACTTTTTCTGAAAAGAGAGTAGAAAGAAGCAAAGAAGCATCATATACATCTCATTAATTTCCTGTTTTAGGCTCAAATATAGACTACTTTCATTGTTGGGGAAGAGACAGCATGAGTCTTTTATTTCTGAGTAAATGGAAACCATTAATGGTTTCAGGAGGACTTGGGTTTATTCCACCTTGACACTGGAGGACCTGTCTTGACTCTGTTTCTGAAGTATGAATCAGGTTTGGGGACCAAGGATGAGGGGTGGAGAAGGAGAGCAATCTATCTTCCCAATGCTATAATGAAACTGGCACCATCTGACTATGTTTTTTCCCCTTGCACATGTCCCAAAGGAAGCTGGCCAAGAAGCAGAAGGAGACACAGAGCGGAGCCCAGAGAGAAATGGGACCGGTGGCCTCCGCTGACAAACCCACCACCAAGCTCAGTGCCAGTCGCAACGATGAAGGATTCTCCTCTAGTTCTCAGGACGTTAATGGATTCAGTAAGTTAAGCCAACTAAGGGGGAGGGAACATGCATGGTCCATGTAGATCCTAATACTTCTGCTTTGGACCCCTCAAGGTGGCTAGGGTTTGTAAGGAATGGGGTATGGATGCTTCCCTGAGACAGTCCCAGAGGAAGGTTCTCCCTTCCAAAGACTTTGGGCAGCCCATTTGTCTTAGTCCATCTGTGCTGTTATAAAGGAATGTCCATCTGAGACTTGGTAATTTGTAAAGAAGGATGCCACACTTTTTTAAAATTTTATTTTCAGAGACAGGGTCTCACTCTGTTGCCCAGGCTAGAGTACAGTGGTATAATCATAGCTCACTATAACCTTGAAATACTTGGGTCTAGCAGTCCTTCCACCTGAGCCTCCTAAGTAGCTGAGACTATGGGCGCACACCACCCACCTGGATAATTTTTTTAAATGGTTTTTGGAGAGATAGGGTCTCACTATCTTGCCCAGGCTTGTCTCAAACCCCTGGCCTCAAGCAATCCTCCCACCTTGCCTTCCCAAATCACTGGGATTACAGATATGAGCCATTGTGCTTGGCCTCTTTTAAACAACCAGCTCTCACATGATCCTATAGAACTAGAACTCACTCATTAGTACAGGGAGATTCATGAGGGATCTACCCTTATGACCCAAACACCTCCCACCAGGCCCTACCTCCAACATTGAGGATCAAATTGCAACATGAGATTGGGAGAAGACAAATATCCAAACTTTATCATCATCCTAAAGTGAAAAGAAGTATTTAAAAATATACCCCAAATGAGGTAAAAATGAGAGCAAGTCATCCTACCTGCTTGTGGACATAGAGACAGGTTAAAAATAACAGTAGTTAAAAAGGAGGAGGAGGTTGCCTTTGCCCCTAAGGAGAAAAATATGCTACACTGAATTAAATAACCTAAACATTTCAAAACTATGTCTCACAAACAGTGCATAAGGCAGGTGAGTCATAAATTATCACTGTTTCTGCTCTGAATCCTTAGGAAACTGAGGCTCAGAGAAAGAACTTTTCCAAAGTCCAATGGCTGAGTTACCTATCCAGACTGGAGGCCATGCCTCCTAATCCCTGGCCAGTTCCAAGCCACAGCCAATGTTCCAAGCAGCACTTGGTCAAGGCCACCTGAGTCCTGAACTGGAGTTAATAAATGATCCCAAGCTAATACAAGTGGTTAAAACATCAGGGTTAACTCTCATCCAAAGGAGAACTTCAAGACTGGTGACATCTAGGGATCCCTTAGGAATCAGCCTCAAGAGGCCTGGCTTCTGTTCCCTTCCTTTAGCCATGCTGTAAGCCAGTTGATAAACTTGATTCCCTAGTCTTTGCCCCAAGTTGGATAAGGCATGGAATCTAAAAGAATCTGAGCATAGACAAACATCCATCATATACCATGTAAATTGCAAAAGGAAGAAACCACATTTTGTAAAAATCCCTTTAGACATAATCACTTTGGGGATCTATGAGAGGATGAAGGAAGAAAGAAAACAGATATTTATTTGCCACCTTCTATGATGTAAACTCTCTCTCATTTTATCTTCACCATAGTCCTATGAGAACCTTAGTGTCATTGTCCCCATCTTATAGGTTAGGAATCTGAGATAAAGAGTGTTTGGCCTTCCCAGAGCCACGTAGCCCTGTTCCTATGGAGCCGGGATCTGAAAATAATTCAGGCCCAGGATTCCTAAGCTCAAGTGCAGCACAGAACCCTCCTGGGGAGGTTTTCAAAATACACTAGCCCCATACCTCATATCTGGCCCCCACCAAACCCCCTGAATCAAAATCTCCTGGAGGATGAGAGGAGCGGTACAACTGAGGATATGAATGTTATGAAAGTCATTTGGAAAGTTCCTGCAGGCTCCCAGATTTAGAATGCAGAACTTTGACAGAGGCAATAGCTACTTTCAGATATTGACCATCTCTGGGGAGAGAGATTAGTTTAAACTTACAGAAAAAAGCTGAGAAAACAGCAAAATGAACACTTACACACTCTTTACCTAGATTCACCAATCGTTAACATTTTGCAACATTCGCACTTTCGTTCTTACTTACACTGGTGCGCTTTCTCTCTCTCTTTCTGTATCCGATTTTTTTCCAAAATTTTATGAACTATTTAGAAGTAAGTTGCAAACATCATGGCACTCCACCTCCAAAGAATTCAATATGTATTTCTTAAGAACTAGGACAGCTCTTCAACATAATCACAAAATATAACCTTGATTCAATGTTAGCTTATAATACACCAGTTCATAGTCAAATTTCCTCAGTGTCCCCAAAATGTTCTTTATTGTTTATGTGTTTGTTTATTTTAATCCAGGATCCAATCAAGATGTTCACATTGTATTTGGTTTTCATGTCTCTTCATCTTCTTTCATGTACATTTCTTAAAAGTTCAGGCAAGTTGTCCTGCAGAATGTTCCATAATCCAGATTTTTCTAATTTTTCATCAGAATTTTATATATATATATATATTTTAGTCAAAGTCTGTTCTGTTGCCTAGGCTGGAATGCAGAGGCACACTCATGGCTACGGTAGCCTGGACCTGTTGGGCTCAGGCGATCCTTCTGCCTCAGCCTTCCAAGTAGCTGGAATTACAGGCATACCTGATTATTATTATTATCATTGTTGTTATTATCGTTATCATTGTTATTTGATGTATTGTAGAGACAAGGTCTCACCAAGTTGCCCAGGCTGGTCTCTGGGCTCAGGAAATGCTCTCACCTCTGCCTTCCAAAGTGCTGGGATTGCAGGCGCGAGCCACTGTGCCTGGCCCAGAATCACATTTAGATTAAACATTCTGGCAAAAATACTACATAAGTGATGTTATATGCTTCCCTTTACATCATATCAATAGACATATGATATCACTTTGCCCATTATTGGTGATGCTAAGTTTATACACTTCTTAAGGCTTAGTGATGGCTTTTAAAGACAAAGTCTAAAGGCACATACTGATTGTTTTATGAGCAAATATTTAACTTTTGTTTTTCTTAGAGGTCAGAGCAAATTTGTAGTTCTCCTAACTATAAGGCCAGTCCTTTCCACTTTCAATCCAGATGAATCAATGGGATTCATACATTTCCTGGAGGCTAGGAAAGAGGATGACATAGACCAGAAGAGGCAGAGTAGGGGTTGGCAAGGAAATGAGCTTGGTCTTTCCCTTAAAAAAGGACAACCCTAACTAAAATTCTGTGTCTGTCCATCAATCTTGAATACAAAATTACATCGAGATAGGAGGAATAAGTTCTAGTGGTCTATAGCACTGAAGGGTGACTTTATAACAACGTTTTCCTGTACTTTTAAATAGCTAGAGGAGTAAAATTTGAATGTTCTCAACATAAAAAAATGATAAATGTTTAAGGTGATGGATGTGCTAATTACACTAATCGAATTATTATACATTGTATATGTATCGAATATCACACTGTACATAATTGTACATAAGCATGTACAATCATTATATGTCAATTAAAAATAATAAAAGATAAAAGACTATCCTGAGCTCACTGTGCTTCTGCCTGCACTATGTACTCAGTTGTCACTGGTTCTCCTGCTTTTGGCCCCAGGGCAGAGAATTTCATTTGCAAGTCTAGCTGATTGAAAATACTGGTCTTCGAGACCCGCCTGGGCAGCGAGACCTCATCTCTACAATAAATCAAAAAATCAGCCAGGCATGGTAGTGCATGCCTGTAATTCCAGCTACTCGGAAGACTGAGGCGGAAGGATCGCTGGGGCCCAGCAGGCAAGGCTGCGGTAGCCGGGAGCGGCCACTGCACTCCAGTCTGGGCGACCGAGTGAGACTCCAACTCAAAAAAAAAAAAAAAGAAAGAAAGAAAATACTGGTCAAGTAGTATCATCCAAACGTTTTCTGTAGAGTCCAGCCTCTTGTGCACACTTTTTTCTATTTTATAAAAGTGCCCTCAGGGAGGACTCTGATTGCCAAAAAGATTATAGTCAGAGATGCGTGACAATCATTGTGGCCCTGAACTTGTAGATATTTGGTCTCAAACTTTCTGATCTCAAATGAAAACCTGGGTAATACAGACTTCATGAGTTTAAAAGGGATACATCACCACTGTTTTTACCATGGGCCAAAACTTAGACCCTTAGGATGAAAACACCCAAGACTGAGATAGATTTGCTAGTTAAAGAGGAAGAGGAAGAATAGCCAATGAAATCTAATTAGATGTTTTAAAGACCAAGAGTAAATTTTTCAAATGACTGAGGTATGTATCTATGTGTGTGCGTGTATGTACATACACACACACACACACACACACACACGTATAAACTTACAGACATATACACATATATACACTTATATATGTCTGTATATACACATTCATTTCATGTCGATGATAATTGCTTTTAAAAAGACAGAAAAATTTTTGATGGACTTATTATATTTAATTATTAAGAAATTTTGCATTTGTTTGAATCACTGAATGTCTTAGGATTCTCTCTATGCATCCGGTGTCCTCAGGCTACAGCTACAAAAACACCCTGGGGATCTTTTAAATGCCCTAGAATGTATCAGGTACCTTTTAAAATGTCCTGTGGAACCACTGGGATGAGATTGGGGGGGGAGGGAAATGTAAGTAATGCTTACACTGGAGATGAGAAATTGCTTCTGAAATCACCCTGATGTATGTAAAATTGAATCTATTTTCATGGCATTAGGGAAGTGACTGTCTGGCTTCAGAATCAGTGTCTTTAGAAGGCCCTGAGATTACGTGTGAATGTTGAGGAAGCATGGAGAGAGAGGGCACAAAATAGTTTTTACTTCGGAAAAGATTACAGAAGAATATGTCTGAGCAATTATTTCATTATTGAACAGGTGGGCCCTTGCCTAATTCAAATTCTGCCTTTCCCTCCATAGGTTTATTTTCTGAGGTTTTCTATTTCAAGTGACTGCTAAATTCTGTGACATCAGTTCAATCAAACCTCCTAATATTGTATAGAAACAATGCCCTCTGGGACTCTAGGGTAATGGGG